ATTCATGGCCTTAGAAGGATCTCTATGGCATGGGCCACCTCTGCTAACTCCTCCTTGGTTGTTAAAGCATGAGATTGTGGATTTACCTCTTCCTTTCTCTTCATTCAAAAGCACGAATAATCCCAACTAACAGATATTTATAACTTTTAACTAAAAAGATACCTGTTAAACATGAATGCCACCCAGTCCAGGTTATGGCAGGATTGATAGACTATCAGGCTTCCACCAAGCATCTCTCTCCTCTCATCAGGCCACTCAGAGTCATCAAGGCAGGAGCCCTTGGCCACTGGAATGAAGACACACACACACACACACACACACACACACACACACACACCCTATTCTTCTTGTGACACTTCAGTTTCTGCAGAACACTGAGGCTGGCACCCAAAAAGACCTGTGAACTTACTGGTCAGACTTTAATAGGTGATACAATTGCTCCATTTTTTTGGGTTTGTTTGTTAATACTCACCCGAGGATATTTTTTCCATTGATTTTTTTTGAGAGAGTAGAAGGAAGGAAGGAGAAAAATAGATAGAGAGAGAGAGAGAGAGAGAGAGAGAGAGAGAGAGAGAGAGAGAGATTGGTTGCCTCCCACAATCACCCCACCAAGGGCTGGGGATTGAACCTTGACCAGGAATCAAACCCAAAACTTTCAGTGTGTGGGCTGCTCTAACCACTGAGAAACACTGGCCAAAGCACAATTGCTCTTTTAACAACACAGTTTGCCTCATTTTTGTGTGTGAAATGAATGAAATACAAAGGAATGGTTTGGGAAACCAGGCATTGACTAGACATTAGGCAGCAGGAAAGGAAACGTTGGCATTTATATAGTTATGTCATTATTAATTGGCATTGCAAACAGGAGTAGAAGAAAACAGATAAACTACCGTAATATTGAGCAGAGAGGATTTAATGGAGAAATCTATCTTATTCCTTATCTTTTGTTGTGACATCTCTACAATAACTTTAAAAATATTTCTACTTCTTAAAATTTTAATTCACATCTATTTTTAAATCCTCTCCTGAGGATGTTTTTTATTGATTTCAGAGAGAGAGGAACATCGATGTGAGAGAGAAACATCAATCAGTTGTCTCCCATATGTGCCCCAACTAGAGATGGAACCCACAACTTAGATAAGTGCCCTGACCTGGAATTGAACCCTAAACCTTTTGGTGTACAGTACGATGCTTCAACCAACAGGGCCACCTGGCCATGTTTAATTTATATTTTAATCAAAGTAAAACTTCGTTATTCATTCATTCATTCATTCGTTCATTCATTATTGGGTTGTACTTCCTGCTTTACTCTAGATCCGTGGTCTGCAAACTGCAGCTTGTGAGCCACATGCGGCTCTTTGGCCCCTTGAGTGCGGCTCTTCCACAAAATACCACCGCCTAGGCGGGTCTATTTTGAAGAAGTGGCATTAGAAGAAGTTTAAGTTTAAAAAAGTTGGCTCTCAAAAGAAATTTTAATTGTTGTACTGTTGATATTTGGCTTTGTTGACTAATGAGTTTGCTGACCACTGCTCTAGATTGTTCTGTAGACCTGCTTTTTAATTGTTATTCTCTCACCATCATCCTTGGGGATTCTCTTTGCCTCTCCTCTGTTTCCTGGATCCCATGCCTTCTTTCTCAGCTTATTTCCTTAGGACAGTGGTACACACCCTCCAGTAGCTTCTTGAGAAAGGGTCTAGAGGAGGTAAAACGGTTTACTTCTTGTATGTCTGAAAAGAACTTTACCTTCACATTTGATTGACAATTTGGCCAGGTATGTGGGTCAGAATTTCTCTCAAATTTCTTGGAGGCCCTGTTCCACTTCTGGTTTCCAATGTTGCTATTGAGGAGTTTGATACCATTTGGGCTCTCTATGTGACTTAAAAAAATTCTCTCTGAAAGTGTTTAGGAAGCTTTCTCTTTGTCCTCCGCATGCTGAAATGTCACAGTGGTATGTCTTGGTCTACTTGTTTTACCTTCATTTTGTTGGCACTTGGTGGGTTGTATTAATCCGGAATTAATGCTCTTAGTTCTAGAAAAATTTCTTATTTATTTTATAAGTTTTTCTTACCCTTTCCCCCCTCTTCTCTCATCCATGAAGTATTATTTTCTTTGTCTTTTTCTTTGAGATTTCACTAACTTCTCCTTCAAACCTTCTTTTGAAACTTTAATTTCTGCTATCACATTTATATTATCAAGGGCCCATCCTTAATCTCCATGTTTAAAAAAGTTTCCTGGTTTTGTTTCTTGGCTGCAATATCACCTCTTATCTCTCTTTCAATGTTAATCATAATTTAAAAAATGTTCTCTTCAGTCCCCTCTTATCTCTCGTCTACAAGTTCCCTTTCTCTTCAGTCTCGGTATTTCACATCAGAAGCTTTCCTCATATACCTGGTGATGTTTGTCTATCTTTCATTTTAAAAGTAAGCCTTGCCGAGACCGGTTTGGCTCAGTGGATAGAGCGTCAGCTTGGGGACTGAGGGGTCCTGGGATCGATTCCGGTCAAGGGCATGTACCTTGGTTGTGGGCATATCCCCAGGGGGGTGTGTGCAAGAGACAGCTGATCGATGACTCTCTCTCATCGATGTTTCTAACTCTCTATCTCTCTCCCTTCCTCTCTGTACAAAATCAATAAAATATATTAAAAAAAAAAGTAAGCCTTAGGAGATGCTCTATGGGAAGTTTGTGTATATCTTCCAATGGGATTGTTCTACTGGAGGGCTTTGCTGAGGGTGATCAGGTGGGACCTGACTGTTCTGTGGGAGGACCCTTAAGCCAGTATGTGTAGGTCATTTCACTTGGTTATGTGTGGGAAGCCATCCATTGTCTTCACTATTGGAGAAGTGTAAACAAGGAGCCTGGAAAGCTGGTGAATCTTCAGCCCCTGCAATGGCCAGAGCTATGCACCGATTGTTTAGTACAGACAATGGGGGTTCAAGCAATTTCCTGACCAAACAGTTTCAGAGTAAATCTTTCTTTCTTTCTTTCTCTTTCTTTCTTTCTTTTTCTTTCTTTCTTTCTTTCTTTCTTTCTTTCTTTCTTTCTTTCTTTCTTTCTTTCTTTCTTTCTTTCTTTCTTTCTTTCTTTCTTTCTTTCTTTCTTTCTTCCTTCCTTCCTTCCTTCCTTCCTTCCTTCCTTCCTTCCTTCCTTCCTTCCTTCTTTCTTTCTTTCTTTCTTTTTTTAAAATATATTTTATTGATTTTGTATGGAGAGGAAGGGAAAGAGATAGAGAGCTAGAAACATCGATGAGAGAGAGTCATCGATAAGCTGCCTCTTGCACACCCCCTACCGGGGATGTGCCCACAACCAAGGTACATGCCCTTGACAGGAATCGAACCTGGGTCCCTTCAGTCCCCAAGCTGACGCTCTATCCATTGAGCCAAACCAGTCTCTGCCAGAGTAAATCTTTCTAATATTACCTGAACTTTAAGATAGTCTGTCTGTTACTGCAATCACCTGACTAAGGGCTAGATGTGTGTTCAAAATTGAATCAAAGGTTGGCAAGGCCTGGGCACGAGTGGAAGTCCTTCTCCTTGCTTGGGCTTCCTGCCTGGGCCCTGGTATTTCTAAATTATTATTATTATTATTATTATTATTTTTAAACAATACTGCATTTTATCAAAAGACACATAAGAAATTTCAACTCATGTCTTTGACAGTTATAAAAATCAACATTTGGCTAAGTTATAAACATGTTTATAATGCAATTATTTGCATAATTCTAATAATGGTAATGATGGCTATAAGATCAGAATAGGTTAACAAACAAACAAACCTAAAAACATAAAAATACATAGGCAATATTTACCTGTAGAATATGTTCACTTACGACTAAAGTTCAGCATTTACTGTATTGCCACCACTCTAATTTTAAAAATCACACCCAAAGGGTAAGGCAAAACTAGCTAGCAAATGGCCTATTTGTTTACTTCTCAATTTGTGAAAATGTCCTTTTTTTTAATTTTAATTTTTTATTAAAGAATAATTGACATACAATATTATGAGTTTCAGGTGTAACAACATAGTTATGCAACATTTATATACTTTATGTGTTCACAATAATTCTAGTAACCATCTGTCTCCGTACAAAGTTATAGTGACACTTGATTATATCCCATATGCTGTATTTTACATTCCTGTCACATTTATAATTAAGTTTGTACTTCTTCTTCTTTTTTTTTAATCAATCTTTATTGTTCATATTATTACAAAGGTTCCTCATTTCTTCCCCCCTCCACCAGGTTCCCACCCCACCCTTCGCCCCCTCCCCATCCCCATTGTCCTCATCCATAGGTGCACAGTTTATGTTCAGTCTCTTCTTCCCTCAATTTCCCCAATAGTAAATCCCTTTTCAGATAGTAAATCAGTTACTTAGCATTTTCTCATATCAATAATACCTCCACATGCCCAATGATACACTTCACACAAAAGACATTTCCCAATAGGTCAACAAGCCTCATCCAGGCCCCACCCAAGGCACTCACAGATCAACACCCCAGCCCTATACTAACTCAACACATCCAGATCTAAGCCTTCATCACTTGATTCAGCAGACCCTCAAGTTCCCGCGAAAGTTTCCAGCCATGTCTGAGAGGCAGCCGTGGGGCAGGGGCAGGCGAGGAGCGACCTGTTTCGGGCCTGGCTGCTCAGGGCCTGGCCTCTGTTGCTCTGGTTCGTTCCACAACCAGTTGCTCTGGGTCTGGTCACTGCCGCTCCCGACCTAGTTGCTCTGGACTTGGCTGCTGCTGCTCCGGGCCTGGCTGCTCCCAGCCTGGCAGCCGCTGCTCCGGGCCTGGCCGCACCAGCCCCAGGAAAATGTCCTTAATCTGTTGATGTAGCAAACAAATTTCAACTGTGCTATGCAAAAGAAGAGACGATAGTCTGCTTTGCAATGAACTTTAAAGTTCAATCGCACACAGGCAACATGCTATATATGAAAAAATTACTAACTGAACTACAGGTATTAAATACTGAAAAAAGTTAACAGTTTATTAGAATTTACTTTAACAATCTAGGAAGTTTGCAGCCATCAGCAGTTCCAGTGCAATTTCAGGTGCAATTGGGAATTCAGGAATCTCTGTGGAGCTGTTAGTGTAGTGAACCTTGTAAGTAAAATACATGCACACTTTTGATAGCACATGTGAAGGGATCTCTCTAAAATTGACTTCATTCGTTTCGTTCTCAGCAAACTGACCTGGGCCACTCAACATGGCTTTGATTGTTCCTGATGTTAATGCATGTTCTCTTTTTACAATAAATTCATGACCATCTGAAGATATCAATTTGACATACATGGTGTCAGGGCCTTCACAGCCACTGTAGGTCTTCTCTTCTCCATCCATTTTGTTCTTATGAAATTCTACTTCGCTTCCACAGGAAGTTTAGTAGTTTCCGACGCGGGAGATTGATATCCGGTGAGGCGGGGAGCGTGTGGCCTATTTCCGTCCACAGGAAATGCACGGCGCCGCCTTCCCTTCTCCCTGGACCACAGTACTCCAGGCTGGTGTAGCGGGGAACAGCCTAAATTATTATTTCTTGTCTCATCTCGGTAATTGCACACAGCTCTTCTCCAGATCCCAAACTCTGAACCACTCAGGATGTGGATCACACAGTTATGCTCATTTCCCCAAACAGGAGTTCTCTTATCTCTTATTTATCTCAGTCTGGCTGCTGCTGTTTCATACAGGTTGGGGCAAAAGTAGGTTTACAGTTGTGAATACTCGAAACAACGAGTTTATTCTTATTTATTAATTATTGTATTAATTTCCGTATAAAAACAGTGAAACTATTTTTTCCTACCCTGCATAAAAACCCACAATAATAGACAGCAGGAGATGAGATGTCTGCAAATGTTGTCATTTGAGGCTTGGGCGGTGGGGGGCTGGGAATTCCCTGCCCAGTGTGCTGTTTTCATATTGCACTCTTGTGCTCAGTCTTGCCTGGGTTTCCTAGGAAGTGAACTTCTTTCCTCCAGGGCTGGGCAGAGGCAGTGGCCTGGCTGTGCAGATGGAGAAAGATCTGCTGCCTATAAGGATTGTCAGTGAATTCTTCAGTGTCCAGTCCTCCTCTGCACTTGTGCCTTCACAGGTAACTGCTGGGGCCTTCAATTGCTGGTTGGAATTTTATAACCCCAGCTCTGTCCTGCTCCATGTATCTTTTTCTTAAAAAAATTGATTTTAGAGAGAGGGAGAGAGGAAAAGAGAGAGAGAGAGAGAGAGAGAGAGAGAGAGAGAGAGAGAGAGAGATATCAGTTGCCTTTCACTGGGATTCAAATCTGCAACCTGGGTATGTGCCCTGACTGACTGGGAATCCAATCTGCCATTGTTTGGTGCACGGGAGGAAGCTCCAACTAACTGAGGCACTACACTAGCCAGGGCTGCTTTTTCATCTTTAATCTATTAAAGCTGTTATCACCTTATTGCTTCCAGGTGATAGAATTTATTAACAACACCCATCTGTAGTTGCCACATCTGCTGTTTTTATTCTTTTTTTTAAAAATAAATTTTTATTGTTCATATTATTACAAATGTTCCTCCCCCCCCCCGCATTGCTCTCCTCACCAGGTTCCCATCCCACCCTCTGCCCTTTCCCACCCCCCATTGTCCTCATCCATAGGTGCACAGTTTATGTTCAGTCTCTTCCCACATCCCCCTCTCCTCTTTTCCCCAAGAATCGTCAGTTCACTCCCCTTCCATACCTCTGATTCTATTATATTCAACAGTTAATATTGTTCATCAGATTTTTTTTTAAATTTCCTTGGTTTTTAGATTCACTTGTTGATAGTTACATATTTGTTGCTCATAATTTTTATCTTTATTTATTTTCTCTTCTGAAAGAACCCCCTTCAGCAATTCATATAATTCTGGTTTGGTGGTGATGAACTCCTTTAGCATTTTTTTTATTAGTGAAGCTCTTTATCTGACCTTTGATTCTGAGTGATAGCTTTGCTGGGTAGATTATCTTTGGCTGTAGGTTCTTACTATTCATCACCTTGAATATTTCTTGCCATTCCCATCTGGCCTGCATGGTTTCTGTTGAGAAATCAGCTGACAATCGTTTAGGTGCTCCTTTATAGGTAACTACCTTCTTTGCTCTTGCTGCTTTTAATATTCTCTCTTTGTTTTTGCTCTTGGAATTTTAATTATGATTTGTCTTGGTGTGGTCCTCTTTGGATTCCTTTTGTTTGGAGTTCTGTGCGCTTCCTGGACTTGTAGGTCTAATTCTTTCACCAGGTGGAGGAAGTTTTCTGTCACTATTTCTTTCAGTATGTTTTTGATATCTTGCTCTGTCTCATCTTCCCCATAATTCTGATGTTGGTTCGCTTGAAGTTGTCCCAGAGGTTTCTTACATTTTCTTCAATTTTCTGGATTCTCTTGCCTTCTAGCTTCTGTGGAGGAGTGTTTTCTGGCTCTTTATGCTCCAAATCTTTGACTTGATTCTTGCGATCTTCCATTCTGTTTTTAGGACTCTGTATAATATTTTTTATTTCAGACAATGTATTCTTCATTTCTTGTTGATCCCTTATAATTTCTTGTTGATTCCTTATTAATTCTAGTTGATCTCTTTTCATATCCTCGTAGGTCTTATCGATCTTTTCTAGGAAATTCTTGAAAAACCTTAAAAGCGTAGATTTGAACTCTATATCCAGTTGCTTTTGTCCTCCATTTCTTTCGTTTGTGATCTATTTCGTTGTCGCATTTCACAGCTACAGATGGGGCGGAGTTTCACGGTGGAGCCTACAACCTTGGCTTCCATCAGCCCTGCCCTATGTGGCTCCTGGGTCTCAGGGTCCTTCAGTACTCGTTGCAAGCGCCTCTGAGAGAAAGGTGCCCTCGATTTTCGCCTGCTACCAAACAGTCTAGGCTCTCCCCCAATGAGCCCAGAACTGGGGTTCAGTTCAGTTGGAAGTGGAGTTGGAGGTGGCGTTCAGAGCAGTCTGGAGCCCCTGTCTCCTTCTCACCAGGGCAATTCCCCGGCACAGCCAACCATCCCTTCTCTGTGCGCAATGTGCGTGCTTCCCGGACCTCCTTTCGCCTCCCCCCCCCCCCCCCGGGCTCCGCCTTATAGCCCAGCACCCTATAGATGAGCCTGGGTCCCTGGGGTCTGGTGGGGGTAAGGGCAGATTTTTAGATTCACTTGTTAATATAAATGTATTTGTTGATCATAACTTTTTATTTTTTTTCTTCTTCCTTTTCTTAAAGAATGCATTTCATTGTTTCATATAATACTTATTTGGTGTTGATGAACTCCTTTAGCTTTTTCTTAATTATGATGTGTTCTGGTGTGGTCTTCTTTGGATTCCTTTTATTTGGGGTTCTGTGCACTTCTCGGACTTGTAAGTCTATTTCTTTCACCAGGTGGGGGAAATTTTTGGTCATTATTTCTCCAAATATGTTTTCAGTGTTTTGCTCTCTCCTTGCACCCCCATAATTCAGATGTTGTTACACTTGAAGTTGTCCCATAGGCTCCTTACACTATCTTCATACTTTTGGATTCTTTTTTCTTTTTGCTTTTCCAGTTGGGTGTTTTTTGCTTCTTCGTATTTCAAATCTTTGACTTGATTCTTGCAATCCTCTAGTCTGCTGTTGGATCTCTGTATGTTATTCTTTATTTCAGTCAATGAATGCTTCATTTCTAATTGGTCCCTTTTCATATCCTCAAGGGTCTCACTAAATTTATCGGTAGTTTCTAGAAAATTCTTGAAAAACCTTATAACTATGGCTTTGAACTCTATATCCAGTAGTTTACTTTCTTTCCTATTTCTTTGTCTCCACTTTTTGGCTGCTTCCCTGTGTTGATAGAGTGGCTTTGTGTGCTAGGTGTCCTATAGGGCCCAGTGGCTCAGCCTCCCCAGTTACCTGAGCTGAAGTGTAGTGCACCCCTTTATGGGCTGTGTGCACAGTCTTGTTGTAGTTAAGCCTTGATTGTTGTTGGCATCACTGGGAAGAATTGATCTCCAGGCCAATTGGCTGTGAGAATCAGCTGTGTGTATGATGGGAGAACTGTGCTGGAGACAATCTATGGGGCAAGACTTGCTTCAGTGAGGCTTTGGTGCTCACTGAGTCTGCCCCCTGATTGTGTCCCTTATGGATCCAAGGAGTTGTAATATGGATGGTCCCACTCTGACCACTGGATACACTGGCTCTTGGATCTCTAAGGAGGTGGAAATTTAGCCTGTGCCTGAGGCCACCCAGCAGGAGATACAGAAAGATCTTCAGGTTCCTCTTCTTTGTTTGGGGTTTGGAGGTGCCCAGATGAGGCCCAGCTATGAAGCAATGCAAGCTTCTGTGGGGCCTTGGGCCTTCTTTTGGATGTTCTGGGTCTCTCTGACCCAGATGCAGTTTGTTAGGTAATTTTAGATTGCAAAGACCAGGCTATTCATATGCCAAAGCCTCTGCACACAGCTTGGGTGGGAATCCACAAGGCAGAGCAAACAGCAATAGATGCTCCTGGGTCTCAGTTTCCCATGGTAATTGCTGCAAGCACCTCTGAGAGAAAGCCGCCCTTGCATTCTGCCCAATGCCAGACAATCCAGTTTCTCCCCGTATGAGTCTGGGTCTCCAGAGTCTCATTCAGAACAGGAGTTCAGAGCAGTCGGTAGCTTGTGTCTCCCTTTCGGTAGAGAAAGACAACTGCATACTCAGTTGCCAGCCCTTTCTACATGCATGCCTTTGTACCTCTGAACTTTACTTCTGTACCTCCTCTGAGTCTCAGTGTGTTTTTTTCTTTCTTTCTAGTTGTAGAATTTCTACTCAGCCAGTGTTTCTGGATGATTTCTGTTTTGTCTTTTAGTTGTAGTTTTGAAGTGGTTGTGTGAGGCAGCAATTTCAGGTATTTACCTATGTAGCCATCTTGGTTTCTCTATGTTTTATTTTAAAAATTGATACTTTAAAATTTACATTTAAGTTGGTTAACATTGATTTTCAGTTTAAGCATTTCTCTATCTTCTTTTTCCTAATTTTGAATTTTTCTTTCATTAAGTTTTACATTTCGGTGATATAGTGTCTTAGGAAATGGAAATAAAGCCCAGGGTGACACCATAAATGAACAGTAGTACAAAGCAGGAGGAATATATTCATATTCTTCTTCATAAATGTTTGTATTTGGAATATATTAAAGGGATCCACTAACAAAAGTTGGCTTGGCAGATGATTTAACCACGGTATTATATAACACACAAATTACTTCGCAAGATAGCCACTTGGCTTGACAAAGCCTGTAACTATTGTGTCCTGCAGGGCTGCTTAACCTAGAGTTCAAGGCAGAAATTGTATGCAATATTTTAAGCATCTGTTTGTGTGTGTGTATATGTATCTGTGTCTTTATTGTTATTAATCCTCAC